TTTAACAATGTGACAATGATGATACCGGAATGGCTTTTTGTCTAGTGTTTTGAGTGCTTGTTTATACAGTGATTCCAGTGGTTTTAGAGCTGTAGAGTGTGCATTAGACCAGCTGATCAGACAGTAGTTGATGTGGGAGAGGACCATTGAGTGAAGGTATAGCTTAGCTGCTGCAGATGATAGGAAGTTTCTAATGTATCTGTAATTTGACAGATTGAACTTTACTTTATTGCAGACCTTTTTGATATGGGTTTTGAAATTGAGGTTTGTGTCAATATGTACTCCTAAGTACTTGTACTCCGAGACAACCTGAAGTTTCCTTCCAGAAAATAAAACATCTTGTTCTGTTATAATGCTGTGGCCCTTGGAGAAGAACATACACACTGTCTTTGAGACATTTGGTTGCAAACAATTATTGTTAAGCCAGGATGTAATATTCTCCAACACATCAGTGACCTTGGTAGCAGCCTCTTCTGCGGTTTTGCCATGAGTAAAAACAACTGTATCATCAGCATCACAATCTCCACACACAGAAGGCAGATCATTTATGTACATACTAAACAGGATTGGGCCCAATATAGAGCCCTGCGGTACTCCAGTTGACAAACATAGTGCACTAGACTTATGGTTCTCAATTTGAACACATTGGGAGCGGGATGAAAGATACGAATGAAAGAGGTTGGTGAATTCTATAGAAATATTTAAGTTGACTATTTTTTGCAATAAGATGTTGTGATTAACAGTGTCAAAAGCTTTCCGTAAGTCAAGGAACACGGCCCCCACAACCCCACCCCTGTCCATTGATGCCTTAACTTTCTCCACGAAGAAGCCAGTCGCTGTTTCTGTTGAGTGATTAGCCCTGAATCCAAATTGCATTGGATGCAGTGGAAAGGAGCTGTTGTTGAGATGATTGATGATTTGTTTGGCAATCAATTTCTCAAATACCTTGGATACTATGGGTAAGATACTGATGGGCCTATAGTTGGATGTCATAAGAGGGTCCCCACCTTTGAATAACGGGACGACAACAGCAGGCTTCCATTGATTGGGAAAACTCCCTTGATTGATTCCAATATTAATGATATGCGTTAGTGCAGGGGTGGGGAACCTTTTTCCTCTCAAGGGCCATTTCCATTTTTACAATATCCTCCGAGGGCCGTATACAAGTTATTGATCTCTGCTTAAAAATACTAAAATCACAGATTCATTTTGCCTTTCTTTCATGCTGTGCAAAGAAAAAGCAACCTCTTAATCCAGATATTTTACCATGACTCGCGCATGCATGCGCACGGTGTGGCGTGACCACCAAACAGAAAGATATGGACACAAGATGTGTGCAAAAGTATTTAGTTTCCTATCCATGTGAACAGGATTTAAGTGGGGGGGAAGCTAACTTCCTCTAGGGTGGGGGGGGAGTTAAAAGCATCAATCTGGTGCACTTTGAGAGCAACATTAAGAGATCTATGGATACATCTCTCAACATCCAGATGCTAATAACAACAAAGTTATTGACTGTATGATCAGTATGACAGATGAACAGATCGCCACTGGGCTTACAACTAAAGACACAGCCACGTAAAAACTGCGGCATGTGTACGGCTCCTTATGGGTACTGCCATTTCTGGAAGCGTTCTGGTGCTCTCCGTCAGAACTGCACCCCTGTCAGACGAGACATATACCACGGGATGACACGTTAGGCTCGTGTTGTGTTCAAGGACCCTGACCTTGGCCAGGAAAAACAGGCACTCGCTTGTTTAATTTTGTTGCGGTCTAGATTTCTTTAATTTTTTTCTTTTTTGCGTGTGTTTATAAATTACCTCGAGGGCCGTACCAAATTGTCTCGCGGGCCGTATCCGGCCCAGGGGCCGGAGGTTCCCCACCCCTGCGTTAGTGGCTTAACAATTGAGGAGTTAATGTCTTTCAGCATGAATGTGTCCATACCGTAGATATCCTTAGCCCTTGAGGATTTCAGATTGGCAATTATTTCCACAACCTGTCTCAGACACTGACTTTAGAACAGCTGCTGGTTCGCTAGTGTTGACAGTCGGGAGTGCATTAACTTCCTGAGCTATGAAGCTACTGGCTATGGTCAGGGCCGTATCCAGGATTTCCTAAATACCGAAGTCCAAACATGCTAGGGGAATTCGGGGGATACCCCCCGAGATTTTTGGGATTTTCATGATCTAGTTATGGTGCTTTTTAAGTCCTATGGGGGGTCATAAATTGGATAATATATCGATTTCAAACCATGTCAGTGGGCTGACAATGTCAGCATCAATTATTTTGAAAGTGTAATACATAATAAGAATCAGTTGATTGTTACTATTAATGATCTGGACATGCAGAAGAGGCTAAAATGATCACAAAACATTGTCAACATCAGTGGCGAGCCGTGACTTTTATACCTAGGCCCTCTGACCCCCACCCCTTCCCTCGAGTTATTACGTCACAGCGTATACGTATACTTCAGCGGAATATCAAAACAACGGCCCGGGGTGCAAAACGCATCAATGAAAGCGACCCTCTACCACACAAAACAACACTTGTAAATAACCCTATTTGTGTTCTTTGAAATTGAAAAGGATATTGCATTGTGTTTGTTACTTTCGTTGCAGTTGTATGTCTTAAGTGTAATTTGGCATGCTTTTATTTTGAAGGCGAGTTAACGCTGTTGACAGGAAGTTGTTGTTGCTATGGAAACAAGAAACGTTTCACAGCGGGCGGAACTTGTCATAAAGTCCGCGATAATAACACCCACCCATTTAGCGGGAAGATATGATTGGTCAATTGTACTGTCATTTGACATTACTCTCTCGTTCAGTTACTATAGCGGGGCCCTCTGTGAATTCATAGCTGGACCGCCTGGACGTCCAACAACTCCTCTCTTCACAGTAACTTGCAGAGACGAGCTTCTTTCATTTAACTCTTCACATTCCAACATAAACTGAATAGGCAGATTCGAAGGATTTATTTCTTTGGAAATGTTATTTTAAATACAATTAAATCAAGTTATTTTGGTAAAACTAATGAAAAATATAACTAAAAAAATATATTAAAAAATATATAATTTGTTTTAATGTTTTTAAATATTATTTTGTAGAATATCTTAGGCCCTCACAGAGGGCCCTGACGGCTAACCTACAGCCTCTCTTCCATCTTCTTGAGTCTCTCTGTCTTCTTCCTGTTCATTACTCTCTCTGTCCTCTACGCGTTCTCTTTGTTCAATCTCTCCCTCGTTGTTCACTTTTTGCTCCTCCTCACTTGTCGCTCCTGCCAGTGAATCAAAAGCAATTCAGCAATTTAGTTCATTTCACTTGTTTGTTTGCATTCTTTTTTTATTTAAATCTGTTTTGTTTGATTCTCAAAAGAGAACAAAGATGTAAGCAAATTGTGTTTTATACAATTATATGTTATTATGACATCATCACAAGACTATTGTTATAGACACATTACATATTTATCTCTCTCTCTCTCTCTCTCTCTCTCTCTCTCTCTCTCTCTCTCTCTCTCTCTCTCTCACCAAAGCTGAGCTTCGACTGACGTAGTCTTCTCATTATATCTCAGTCAGTGTAAAAAGAAAACAATACAATGTTATATCTTCGATGTTTTACTCAAATTGAAATAAAAGAAAAGCATTACAACGTTTGTTAAAAGGTAATCCTTCTGACATTGGATGAATGTAATTAACTTTAGCTCTCTAGCTAGTTTATTCACGCAATTTAAACCAAAGTATAGCCTATACTATAGCTGCAATATAAGTTAGTGTGCATGTTGTCGGACGTCCACTGACTAACGTATAGCGTTCACACTGGATCTGCTGGTCATATGATGTCCTGATGAACAGAAACACAAGTAGCCCGCTGGACTCATCTCTAGATACCTCATCACTCCTCCGCTGCTCCGGTACAAGTCCGGGCTGCGGTGATTTGTTGATACATGTCGTCTTCTTCTGTTTGCTTTAATCGAGGCTACGTAGTTATGCAGCGCCCCCATGGTCAGTAAATGGAAGTACTACAAAGAACCCCGTTTAGTGTAATTATTTCACAAGTTTTGTTATACACAGCTCGGAAACATTACCGAGGTCCGGACCTCGGTGACCAATGGTAGATACGGCCATGGCTATGGTAGCCACTGACTCAACAAAATAATAATTGAGTGTAGTTGCCACATCAGCTGGGCATTGCAGAGTTGTGCCCTCAACCCTCAATTCAATTGGCTTGGCTGTCGTAGTGTTTTGACCAGTTAAATGTTTTATTTGGCTCCATATAGCTTTTGAGTTGCCCTGAGCATTTTCAATAATTGTGATAAAGAAGTCCGCTTTTGCTTTTCTTAGGTCAACTTCCCTTGTTGCCTTGTTTCTTAGCCCTGCAAATATATGTCTATCATGGGACATCTTTGATTGTATGGCAGTACACATGTCTTAGTTTGCTGGAAAATAAAACGTGCCACTAATAGTAATAAATAAAAAGGAAATTAAGTTCAGATCACATTTGTCCTGTTGTCACGCAACACAATTAAAGTACACACAACAAACATGTTTTTTGTCCCACTTTTGGGATGTCACCTCGGGGTTTCCAATTGGTCTCTTGATGCCCAATTAACTTGCTCACATGGCTGTTGTAGTTTCACACAGCCTAGCCTTACACGCGTGTATTTCCTCTGTGCACATAGCTCTTCGTGCATCTTTGATAATGTTTGCTACACCGACAGTATTCAACGTTATGAAATATATACATCAATGTTTACCTCATTAGTTAATGATTGACTACCTGTTAATAACGGCTGCATGAGGTCCCTGGTAATCGTTGAGAGAGATAACAGCGGCGTGTTCCCATAGATACGTCCCAACAGATGAGTTCCCATGATGCCCAGCCTACATAGACCTGTGTGACTTTTTAACTCCACCTGCTGCGCAGAATTGCACGGGAAGAGAATAACTCGCCACCCAATTCCCTCTGTAGCCGAAGGAGATGCTGCAGACATATGGATAGTTCACATTTATAACACAGGCACATCAACTGCTGTATGCATGTGCTCATATTTTATTAATTCAGTAAGATCCTTCTTTGAACGCCTCCGTGTCCAAACTGCTGCCCTCCTCGTGGATCTGACATCGCGTGCAGCCCCACTCAACCCTAGACATTTGGCCAGGATCGAGCACCTCTAATGTTATTATAATGGCCTGCAAGCGTTTGACTCGCAAGGGGGATCAACCTGTTGTCAGTTTATCATAACAAAGATTATCTCCGTCACGTTCTCTGCTTTTACGCACAACGATGGGCTCGGAGAAGCCAAACTTTCTTTCCCAGCCCGTGGTGAAGAACATTTTCATGTACCGGAACGGCGACCCTTACTACGATGCTCGCCGGATAGTGATCAACCATAAGAGGGTGTCCAACTTTGAAACTTTGCTGAGAGAGGTGACCGGTGGGATACAAGCCCCGTTTGGAGCGGTGAGAAACATCTACACACCGAGAGGAGGGCACAAGGTGGACAGCTTGGAGAGCCTGCAGAGCGGGGAGCAGTACGTCGCTGCTGGGAGGGAGAGATTCCGAAGACTTGAGTAAGACTTGACTTGCGTTTGGCTTAATAAGTAGCCTACAGTCAAATGTATTTCTCAAATGAGTCTTTGCATAGGCATATATTCTGAAATGTTTAATACAATTATTGGTGACCAGGTTCAACCCATTTCCAGTTATAATCCAATGCACACACTCAATCAGCTATGTCTAAATACACCATTTGTATCACTCAGCATCAGACCTGTAGTCAGACATGCTTGGAAGTTTTTGTGACACAACAGTTTTGTTCCACGCTGACTCACAACATGGTGTAGATGGGATCAGCACTTCAGAGCAGGGTACTCTGCTCTAACCTAAAAATAAGTGGACTTATACTGCAGATAATGAGATTTGTGCAGCGAGTTATTCATGGTGTGCGGTGGTGAATCAGATCAGTTGCAAGGTATTAAGGGGACATGACGTGTATTCTCACCATGCTCTTTGCCATGTGTAGATATTAAAATGACAAGGAAAAGACATGGCTATCTTATCTGCTGCTGAACTGATAGGATATGCGCTCAATATTAATCATGCTGTTGCTTTAATACCCAGATAAATTGGGTTCTTTACTAAATAACAATGAACTTACAGTTAACAGCACTTTTTATTCACAATAAGCAGCTTCCAGTGCAAAGTCACTTATTATAGTATTGCACTTAACTACAACTTTGAAATATGTGTAATTAAATGTTCTGCTCCTTTATATTTTTACTCCACCACAATTCTGAGGAATGTCTGGATGTAGTTTCTGATTACTTTAAAGATAAAGGAAAAAAACACATGCTAATCCTACAAGTATTAAACATTTCTAATTCCTAATTACATATTGTAATATTTCTTAGTTTGTGAATTACAGAGTACAGAGTTAGGACATCAGTGAGCTGTGCATGATTCATTGAGGCTAACTTGAGTTTATGTTTTTTTTCTGTAGTTACCTACAGATTGGATCAAGAAGGAAGAGGATGATGCAGACTCTTCCAATACAGGTAAGGTAAACTTTTTATTGTAAGCACATTTTTGTGTGTGTATTTCATTTGTTAAAACAGTCAAGAAAGGTAAGGCTCTATTAAATGAATGCAGTGACTGAAGCTACTGTAACAGCAGTGTGATCAGATGTTACGATACAATCCCCCAGATCAAACTTGAATGCCAGATTTTAAATGTTTTGTTTTAGTGACATATTCAAGTATATTAAGAGAGAAGTGCTGTTAGAGAAAAGCAAAGCCTTTTTGTTAACGCCTGGCATTTCCAATCTGCAAAATTGTTGGCATCATATTATAAACACAATCTGCAGAGATGGAACCTGTTTACATAATTTACATCGTCCTGCCAATCACCTACATGTTGGGGTGTGGTACATTACCGCATGCCCTTGCCAGAGAAGGTCCTCAGGTTCCACTTCACCTCCTGGTCCTTTACTTTTAGCAGTGAGAAGCACCAGTGGCCTGACTTGACCGTGTCTGTCAGTCCCTTGCTAATTACCTTGTACACAGTGGACTGGACAACATCTTACCATTGAGCCAGCCTGTGCCTGACAGAAACACAGTACAAAGTCTTAGTTGGTTACATCAGCATTGATCACTTTGAACATGTTTGAGACGTGTTTCTTTATTCCCAGTTTAAGGTTTTGTGAACTCAGTTAAGGTTAAGTAGTCCCATATAAATAAATAACTATAGCGTCGACACATTTTTTGAATGGCATTATTTTATTTGCGTTATTGTAGATTTAGTTTTTCTTTTATTTGTTATCAGAGATTGATAAAACCCTTCACCAGCTAGTGTTTCAGTTGCTCTTTACTCAATCCAACTTTTTTACATTTGAAACTGCCACTAAATACAAGATTCATGAGGATTCACCCTTGTCTGCCCCCTCCCACTGTGTAAAGGTTTAAGAAAGATCATTTAAGCAAGGTGTTATGTTAAGCATCTCTTTCTCTCTGTCTGCTGCGAATAATCACTTTGTTGATGTCTCAATGGCCATGCATTATTGATTTATGGATCATAATCATCCCTTCTTTCAATGCACCAGCTATGAAGTCAGAGCCAAAAAAGAGCAACTTAAAACCCAGTTTTAGGTTGCATTGTTTCTGTTTTTAAAGGTGATTTAAAGTCATAATGAAATGTATTCTAGGGAAGGCATTACAAACCTATATTTCCTCCATTCACATTAGAGTGTGGCTTTAGTCAGAGACAACAATGGACCCTTATAACGTTTTCTTTGGCAGGTATTTCTCTGCAGCCCATGATTTTCTATGACTTTGTCCTTTGCCTCTAGCCACAAACAGCACTGTAACATGTTAATCATACAAAGTGAATCAGGAAATGCTCTCTATGCTCTTGATTTCGTCTTATCACCCAGTGTAAGCTCACTCATCAAAGATAACCTCAAGGGCTTGTTGTTGCTGCTGTGATTACGTGGCGAGCATAAAAAGAGCCAATTTATTTGACAAGGACCCTGCTTCCCCCTCACTGCCCCACTTACAGTAACCTGCCTGATTGTGTCGATTAATGATGAGAACTCTCAGCCGGCTGGTAAGCCAGTTTCTTGTCCTTATTGATTTTGGAGCATTATAGGAAGGACTAATTATAGGAAGGTTACTGCCTCAGATGAACCCATTCTGTAGGCTTTTTATGAATGGTTGTCTGACATGGCTTAACAATGGCCGATAAGCGATACATGTTGCTGATGTATTGTTGTTTTTTAAATTATTTTAATCTGATAACGTTACAATAATTCGATTTTAAAACTACGACAAATATTTGCTGAATGTAAATGAACATTGTATTAACACTGTTACTGACTGCACTGTCTGTTTGCTAAAGTATATGAACTTTGTCAACCCTCTTGTTATCCTCAGATTTACTTTACACCCTTTATCCTATGGGATCAATTTGACCCCAGTAGTTTAAAACTCAAGACAATGATCATATTCCAAATGTTAACCAACATGTATGTATCTGGTGCTTTAGGTATCGTAGTTGACTACCTAAATAACCATTTAAATAAAACATTACCCCAACCTTCCCCCCCACAGACCCCTTTATACATCCATAATTCCTATTATCTGACTATCGAAAAATATATAAATCACCATAAAATCTCCCTGACTGAAATAAAATGTTAAAGTAAGATCTTTTGATGTTGTTAAAGGACCAATAACTAAAGCAGAGGGTAGTTTTGTTTTACAATGATACATTTGCAATATCATCCTACACAATCAACACAAATATGTGTAAAATATTGACATTTTTATATGTTTTAACAGCCTGGGGTCAAATTGACCCCAAGGAACACCAATGCGTACAAAGTGCGTACAGGACATTTAAAAAAAGACCTTCATGTTCATTTTATGTTTATCCATTAGTCCTCACTAAATTACGAAAAGTCATGAAATACTAAGCAACAAATTGACCCCAAGGATAACAGAAGGGTTAAGAAAGATCCATAAGTAATACAAAATAAAAACGTTGTATATGAAACATTGGAATGAAAACAAAACGATTATTATAATGGTGTCATGTCATTACAGATGTATTTGGGAGGGGAGACTGAAAGCCTTTGAAACAAGCAAATGATGTAGAAAGAGAAGAAATGAGACAGAGAGACCCCGTAACTGGAGATTCTCCCTCTATTTTCATTGAGTCTTAGTAAACTGGAAGGCAACGGTTTATAAAATGAGCTGAGGGGGACCTTTCCAGCTGTAAAAATCAAAGATCATATGCTTACAAAATGCAATGTACTTTTCCAGTTATTTTAATGGCTCTCTAGAGAGTAAGCTACATCTAGCCGTGCTTGTTTTCTGTTTTTCCTTTCTTCGATTGGTAACTAGCTATGCGGCTTATTCTAGTCTCTGTGGTTTGGAGTACACCTCATAGTGACAGTGGTGTGTGTGTGTGTGTGGCCTAGCATTACTATACTTGTGGGGACCTAAATCTGTTTACACAGTCACGTGTGGGGACTCGCCACCCTTATGGGGACAAATTGGAGGTCCCCATAAGGGAATCATTAATTTTAGGGTGAAGACTTGGTTAGGTTTAGGAATAGGGTTAGGCATGTGTTGGTTATGGTTAAGGTTAGGATAAGTCTCCAGGAAATGCATGTAAGTCAATGTAATGTCCCCTGAAGTTGTGTGTGTGTGTGTGTGTGTGTGTGTGTGTGTGTGTGTGTGTGTGTGTGTGTGTGTGTGTGTGTGTGTGTGTGTGTGTGTGTGTGTGTGTGTGTGTGTGTGTGTGTGTGGCCTAGTATTACTATACTTGTGGGGACCTACATCTGTTTACACAGTCACGTGTGGGGACTCGCCTCCCTTATGGGGACAAATTGGAGGTCCCCATGAGGGGAATCATTAATTTGAGGGTGAAGACTTGGTTAGGTTTAGGATTAGGATTAGGGTAAGGGTTAGGGTTAGGCATGTGTTGGTTATGGTTAAGGTTAGGATAAGTCTCCAGGAAATGCATGTAAGTCAATGTAATGTCCCCTGAAGTGATGTATACATGGTGTGTGTGTGTGTGTGTGTGTGTGTGTGTGTGTGTGTGTGTGTGTGTGTGTGTGTGTGTGTGTGTGTGTGTGTGTGGGTGTTTCTCATTTTGTATTAATTTGCCCACCCTCTGACCAATCGACTTCATGCTTGTCGTATGTCACCCGAGGAAGTGCAGTGGCGCATATCAAGTTATTTTTATTAGCGATTGTGTAGAAAACTGCATAGAAATATGATCTGCCAGGTCAGAATTTGTTTAGTGCTTGCGCTTAGCCTTATAAAAGTGATCCAATGTGCATCAAAATCCTTTTAACAACACGTCCACTAACAGTAGGACATCCTGACCTTGCAACTTGTTACTCCTATATTTCTGAAACTATATATCACACCTTCTTATTCTGAAGTACGATTTTGAATTCCACTTCTTCTACTTGCCTTTACATCTCTGTTGCCAGAGTGCACTCCCAGGCCCCCGGCAGACTTTTAATACACCTCCATCCTTATCTCTCTCTCTGTCAGAGGATCCACAGCTTAGTCTCAGAGTCACAGTAGGTTACCGGCGTTATGGGACAGGACCTGCAGTGCTCACTCTATGCAACCTCCCAACCTCAAAGGATTAAAGAGGCCTCATTCTTTTGCTGTGACAGTGATGGGAGATAGAATATTTCAGTGTCTACAAAAGCTTTTTTTCTTTGCCGTCGGGGATTTAAGCTTTTGATTTCACACAATCTTGTTTTTTCTACTGTGTAGCCTATCTCTCAAAGCAAAAGGAAAGAAAACAATATATATGTATATATAGTTTTAATAGTATATCAATTTTTTTAAATAAATAGACATATTATTGTCTACAATTAACACATTGTGCTCCTTGAAACTGCTACCACTGCAGGAGGCGTTGATTCTCGAGCAGAATTAGCCTTGGCGACTGTCCTGACATGAACAGCTATTTAGGAGCTGCAATGCTGTCCTTACCAACAAGAATATCAATATTGACCTCTGAGTTAGCGCTGGTCCCAAAAGCAAGAGTCCCTGAAGTTCGCTCTGTATGTTTTTCTTGATCTCTGCTGGGAAACAAGTGGTGTCCTTAAATCCCAACTGGACACAGAGCTGCTAACACGCTTTTGAAGCATGTTGTATTCCCAGTTATCAGACATATATACAGCATATTATGGATATTTCCTTTTACCTTTAGCCCTTTGCCCATACCAGATGTATACTGTATGTGTGCTACATCATCGTTATTGATCTATGAGCAGCTGTAGGTTTGACATATGTTACTCTTCATTTTATCACTGATTTGTAGGCCAAACCAACTCCACCGAATCGTATCGTTGTGTCAGCTCGATTCCTGAAACCCATCAAGGAGCCATGTACAATATTGTAAGTTACATTTTTCCCCTTCATTTTAACTAGGTTTTCATTGTGCTTTATTACAATACCATATAAAGCCTAAAATGTACAGAACATCAGAAAATGTTTACACTGTAACCCAAGTGGTAGGTAATGTCATGGACTGCTCAGTCCTAATCTCATAGGATGCATTTGAACTTCAAGTGATACCATTGACTTTACTAAGAGGGGTATACTTAACAAGGGAAACCATTCTGTATCAATGTTTTATTTAAATGTTTTTTTTCTCTACTTAGTGTAGTAGCAAATGGCGATGTCTTGAACCCCGCCATGAGGCTGTTGATCCACCAGAGGATACTCGGCCAGTTTGAAAGAGTTCTCGAGGTGATCACAGAGAAGATGGGCATGAGAGTCCTGGGGGGTATCCGGAGGTACAGCTACAAATATAATCACACTTTACATATGGATTGTATTGGTTCCCCTGATATGATGTTTCTCTTTACCTGTAAGCAAAGCTCCAGGGCAATAAAAGGTTTCCAAACTCACACTGCATGTTTATTATCATAGCAGATCTTATTAGATTGTGCTGCACAAATTGACATATAACTGAAAAAAGGGACTTTTGTTAAAGCTGCCTTAAGTTACTAATGTTACCATATAGGTTTTTGAATGTAATGTGTTGACATACAGGAACAGTATTTACTTGTTAATATTTTACCATCTTAATTATTCAAATCTGTCCAAATGAGGATTATCGGAGCTTCTCGTTTTGAAAAACTGTTACAAACATTTCATGGAAACTTTGGGGCTTTTGGCTGTGTGTCTTTATTCCAGTCTCTACACCTATGAAGGCCAGCAGGTGACTGATGGGAATCAGCTGGAGTGTGGTCAGCTGTATGTGGCTGTGGGAAGAGAAAGATTTAAGAAGCTGCCTTACAGTGATCTTCTCTTGACCAAACCCAGGGGGATAAGGAGGGTCAATGGGTAAGCACTGCACTTTAGAAATTACCCTTAAATAATATGTTTTCTAAATCGGCACCCTTGCATACTGTTATCAACCTTCTCAAACAATCAAATATAAACATTCACTACATCTTTAAATCTCCTAAAACAACTTTATACAGAGCCTAGTATTGACCAATGATACACAAGATTAAGTATTGAGATTCCACTGTCCTCTTTGGAAAGTCATGGCAATTTAAAAGTGTAACTCTTTGGCCACCTGGGATGCCTCTTGGAGACCATTCAGTTTGTGTTTGTCAGTTTTACAGTGTGGCAACTGACGACTCCTCCAGGGCTAATACCTGCTTTCTACTGAAACATACATCCCTCAGCTCCAAATAGCATTTGACTTGATTTCTACACCGTAGAAATTAACAAGTTCACAAGGGAACTGTAAAATAGTTACCAGTTCACATGCACATACAGTACACAACGCTCTTCAACAAGCTTTGTTCGCATTATTGGAAGTAATTATATGTGTTACATCTCTTTATTATCAGATAACACACAGTACAATGTTTTAAACCTCCAACTCTTTATTTTCAGACAAGCTTTAGTTATATTGTGGTTACAAAAAGAGCACAGCTAGTTTGAACTGCCTTAGGGTTAGGGTCCGAGCTGTAAGGCAGACACTCAGTATCCTGTAGTCATTATAGTGAAATCATCTTTGTTTGCAGAACAAAAGCTTACTCTCTACCACCGATCTACAGGTTCTCCAAGCAAAATGGAAACGTAAGCATTGCATGTGCATTTCCATTGAATGTATCTGACTATTTAGTTGTGTTTCTAATTGAAATGAACAAATCAAATGTTTTCATAGCTATTATAACCCAACTGACATATCAATATTTATCACAGCATTCTTAAACATTCACAGAAGAGAGGAGAGTATTAGATTTGCTGTATGATTTAGTTTTCCTTCAAATGTTAAAACTCAGCCTAGTTCAAGGATGTGTATTTTTCGGCCTTGTTTTTTGAATGCTTACTGGAGACATTTGTTATGTATCCATCCTTTAATATTTATAATACAATTAACTTTGAAGGTTAAACTGAGCATTCATGCCAAGGAATTGATGAGACAAACAGATAATGCTTGAACAACGTATTCGGTACATTTCTAGTCCAGTTTCTCCTCATCTTAACTCGACGTGTTTGTTTCTCCAGAGCAAGACTGTGGTGCGATGCAGTGATAGTGGAGGTGAAGTGTCCAAGATTTCTCTTCCGGGCCTCAATGGCAGCAGCAAGGATCATCTGTCCTCCATCGTGAGAGAGATTTCCCAGGCCAGACTCATGTCCCTCAGGAAGAGGAGGAGTGAACAGAGCGAGACCCTCGGCATCGCTGACAATGGTAATGCAGAAACAAACGGAACAGTAGCAATTCAATAGTTTAATATACCTGATCATTCAGATAAGCTAATCTTTGTTAAGATGTGTTGAATCATGCAGCGAACAGAAATAAACCACCACCAGTATTGCAATTCAATTTAACCCTAAGAGTTTTAGAATAGTTTACAGAAAAGCTTATAAGAGAAAATGTACTCATCAAATTCCTTTGTTTCCTTAGTTTCTCAGCTATTTTGCCTATTTCACTATAATTTCATTGATTTAGAATCGGTTCATATAAGTACATGTTAAAATATATTTGTTATATATGAATTAAACAGCTATTTGCACTCACCCTAGATACTGCAATAGTATGTCACATTTTTACCAAAATTCCCTCACCACAACCAGTCACATGTTGTATCCTCCTAATCATTCATAATGTTGTTATTTATCTACATGTGCTATATAGAGTGGGATAGAGTATGCGTGTCATCTGATTGTAAGACCAAGAACATGCTTGGCTAAAGGACACTTTTTACACAGTGTGAGAATCTAACCTTTTTAATATCTGTATTTTCGGTATTATTTTAAGACCACACGTTATGTTTGGGCAGCACAAGCTTATAACAAAGCAGCAGTAAACAACCAGAATAGATCACTAGCAGTAAATAAGTCATATAAAGAGAGGCAGAACATTACTCAAAAACTCAAAAACGGTATTGTCTGTTGCTTTTTTACAGATGGGGTCATACGAGACTCAGATATATGATGTAATGCATGTCCTTTAAATCTTATGTAACCTGCCTTGTTCTTAAATGCCCACACAGTGGCACTGTTGCTCTGCGAGAAATACAGTCGATATATAGAAAGTAGGTCTAGCATGATGACATTAACTACTATTCCAAGAAACACATTACGTCATCTTCTGGTTTTATGATCAGTATTATAATGTCCTGCAGAAAGTCCAATCTTTACTTTTTCTTTACTCATTGGCAGCTGGCAGCTTTTATAACATTGGGATGTGTTTTGCTCTGGGACTCTAACAGATGTTTACCAAAGATAGTACCACATTATAAATAACAGTCTGAGAGGGAATTACACATTTTTGCTTTCCTTATTAAAAAAACAGATTTACTTTTACAGTAAAAGGGATTTGGATTGTCTGCAGACTGCTGCTGACCTTATTATAACTCCTACTGCGGTATGAAGCACCATTACGTCATCTGGTGGCTCATGATAGATGTTGAGCTGTTTGCTCTTCTGGCAGGAGAGTTGACAGCAGAAGCCCAGAGGAGCGTGGAGAATTGTGTCTGTGGTTCAGGGGAGCTGGCATTTTGCATCAAAAGAGAGGGATGAGGAATGTGTGTGACTCTCTTGTCCGTGTGTATTTGAAACCTGTAATGTCACCCTCAAAAATCCTCCGCGGATCAGATTGTGTGGCATGTCGTATTACAGGCAGAGCGAAAACATGTTGCATTATTGGTCCCCTTGGGTGACATTGACCATAGATTAAATTAACAGACAGACAACTCGGAAAACAAGATCAGGCATTAGTAGAAGATCGTTTGAATGGCTTGGAGAGCACATGACGTTCTCATGACCTTTGAAGTCCTTTTGTCTCCAAATGCTGTCGTGTTAGGAAAAAACATTTATATACTTGTCTTGCGTGGTAGCTACAGTATGTGTAGTGTGTGTTTCGTAATCTGGGCATGGCAGTGTGTCTCTGTCCATGGTGCTGATAACACTAAAATACAGTGTAATGAGGATTCCCAAACATATCCTCTCTCTTTGTTTAGCCCACGGCAAACAGATGCTAAAATGCTATTTCGCTTCTCAAAAGCAAGCAAGAGCCGAAGATTACTTCAGTAACCATTAGCTGTAATGGTTGTGGTCATGTTTGTGCAGTTTAGCTTAGGGACACAGTATTCATACCACCTTTGTTTAGTGATTCACCGCAGCACAGAGGTGTGTTTGGTGTCATCATCCCTTTGGGGAATCCTGGCCTGGCTGGCTTTGAGGTAAACACTTCTAAATCTGGAGCCAAAAAGGAAAGCAGCCAAAAAGTTGTCTGACTGGCAGAGGCTGTGGAAAGAACACAGCGTGAAACCCACACTTCAGATCTCTGAGGTTGTGTGCTGGAACATTGGAATGAAAACAAAACGATTATTATAAAGGTGTCATGTCATTACCGATGTATTTGGGAGGGGAGATGCACAGACTGAAAGCCTTTGAAACAAGCAAATGATGTAGAGAGAGAAGAAAAGAGACAAATGAGACAAAGTGACCCCGTAACTGGAGATTCTCTGCACACTCTGTGACACCGAGGCTAGTTTGTGTGTGTATGTATAATATGTCCGTGTGTGTATGTCCGTGTGTGTCCGTGTGTGTGCTGGTACACCAGTCCCCATTATTCACTGTCTATCAGCTGCTGGAAGCCAGACTGAGGACAGCTCCAGCAGTTTGTGTCTGCTGTATTGTAAAGCTTCTGACTTTTCTGCTTCATTAGAGTGAACACAGTGGTGAGTGACAGCAGAGACAGTGGGGGGGGCAGTGTGACAACTCATGCAGCAAAGGTCACGGAATGAATTTGAACTTACTATAACAAAGACATTTGGCTTAAAAGACTTAACCAACAAGATGCATTGCATGTCGTACGCTTCACCCGACACTGGTATACTTTATGCAAGCCTTTTTCTAAATTCAGTAAATAATCAGCCGGATTTATCCAGTGATCAAAACCACATTCATGTTCATGTTATCAATCAGCAGTTGTTGCTAACCTCAAAATAGAAATAGGATGTTTATCAGTGTTCTATTTCTTAAAGGGCCTTTGTTACCAGTTCAGATGATTGCTCCCTTTAGGAAAAGGGAGAGACAAGTAAAAAGAGAAAGCAGGAATGGAAAATGAATAAAAGGAAAAGAAAGAAAGAGGAACATATTTGTTTGGGCAGGGATATAGGAGGGAGAAGAAGGGTTAAAAAAGAATGAATACAAGGTTGAGATGATGAAGGGGGGAGGACATTAAAAGGAAGAGTACAGGTGGAATCAAATGGTAAGTATGATGAATAGCCTGAGATGGTGGAGCGTGAGCATTGAGTGGAGAGAAAAAGCCACAGAGATATTGAAGGGTGGGGTTTTGATAATTGCCTTTCATTTGGATAATCTGTCCATTTAGTCATCAAAGCAGAATTGTACTTGCCTCTGCCCCTTGCTGGGGCCAAATTGCTGCTTTGAAAATCAACAAAAGAGCCTTGCACTTCAAGAAGGACGGACAAACAGAAAAGTATGGACTAGAGGAGAGAGAGGAAAGGCAGAGAGAGAAAAACAGCACAACACAATGAGAAGAGAAGGAGCTCTTCGGAGTACTTGGACTCTTACATCCATTGTATATATGCCTCTGTGCATTCATTAGGAAGGAGTTGCAAAATATGCAACATGTAGTGTATGTCCTTCTCATTCTGCACCTGATTGGCATCTGCGAAGATAATCATCTTTCTTTCTTTTTCACTGCTTTCCTGTATTTAAAAGATTCTAAATGGGCCCATCATTAATAAAATAGACATGCTGTATTAAAGAAAACTCTAAACTATCGATTGAGACCAAAAACCTGTCAGGAAATTGATAACTGTGGTAATACATCAAATGTGAAGCAGTGTGATTGTCTCATTGACTTCTATACAATCAGACTTATGTTTGTTACCAGTGGAGTCGCCCCCTGCTGGCGAATAGAAACAATGCAGGTTTAAGACTCCTCGCATTGGATTTACTGTACTATAAATTAAATGTCTGCCATAGAAGAAAGGTTCCATGTATGTTTCACTATGGGATATGATTGGAAAACAAAACATCTTAAACTGATTCAGTTAATAGTACATCAGCAAGAGATTGGAGACACACACCCTAAGGCCTTCTCCCTGCATTCTTTCACAGACACACACACAACAAGCATTTTAATATTTCAAATTTACGACCTCAATACTTCAGTTTGGTTTATACTGCACTTACTTATACTTTCACATTTCTTTGAAATAACACAGGGTCATCCACTTTACAGAAAACCTCTTGCTCTGAATAGCTACCAATTTTTCATGCACAAAGCGGCATAATTTGATGTAGCAGGACCGAATGCAATTTATTTCACACAAGTGGCCGACTTTATGTGCATTCCTGTCAATTTCCTTGAATGGACTTTGATTTGACGTCAAGGTAGCTGCGGTAAACTGAAAAATCAAACATTCTTGGTATTATTTGGAAGTTGAATGTGAGAGGAATGAAGGAGCATCTGTGAGCGTGTCTGTGTGTGTCTGTGTGTGTCTGTGTATGTTTATGCGCAATCCATCCAAGCCAGAACAACTTTGTGCCACTGGTGTCATAAAATGTGATGCTGCCTTGGGGAATTAGCCTTGTTAGCATATGTATTTATAATGCCTGTCAGAGTGAAATAGGGTTCAAAAGCGCGTCGGGAGGCAGGAGACATGAACACAAAGAGGCTGTGTGTCTGAATTTGTGTGCCTGCGTCAAAAAAAAAGGAGCTCAGCAGCGAAGGATGAGAGATGGCAACATTTAAGGGAAGATTTTCTTCTTGCCAAGTTATTGGAAAGTGTTGGTTGTGAGCACTGCTTTAAAGTGTTAATATGTGGGTTTATGCACATGTCTGTTTGTATGTGACTTTGTGCAGACGCTCTCATGTCACATTTCAGACAACGCGGCCATCTTTCTCAATCCCCTCCTTCATTCTTCCTCAACTTTCATCTTCCCCTTTTCTGTGACATCTGAAAAAGGTTCTTGGTGACCCTTTGATGCAGGATTACTGGATTAAAGTGCAGGGTAGCTGTACTAATCTGCCACATTAATCTGATAACAAGTGTTTCAGCTGTGACATACAACAGGCCTGAATGTGACATGTAAAGTATAGGGTTAGGGCAACGTGCGACACTTTCAATGACATTCATTTTCTTAATTTCTGTCACTTCTAATCTAGCTAGCTGTTCGCGTTTTAGCATTTTCTTAGAGGTTTAGCTA